TGCAGTGGGATCATCACCGTCGGAGGACAAACATCAAGGATGAGTCGATGCCAGGCCAGAGGATTTCCAATGAAAATGATATTTCACCCACACAAAATTTTCGTGATTCTGAGGCGTCCGCGTAAGTAATTAGTTACTTCAGTGTTTTATCACCACACAAGTTAAAGAATCTGAATTTCGCACGCTTTCCAAGGATATTTTATCTTTCAAGTGAGTCCTCGAATCTGAAGGGATGTGAAGTACACGGCGCATCCCAGAGTGGGTCCAGTTGTTGCGCGCGCTTCGATTACGGCTCCTTGGACAAACAATCTCAATCCAGGAAAAATCGAGAGGATTCTGAAAGTTCCGTGCGCAATTACAGGGAGATGTACACCATTCAACATTGCATTAACGCACTCTTCAGGGTTAAATTCATAAACATGTAACCTTTAAAGTTGAGAAACGCTAAACAATTTTACTTTTCTTAGAAGGACAGATCAATCGTAATCGAATGCTGCTTTTTAGCTTAGTACTAATCGCCCTAAGAGGTCTATAAGTGTTTGAATATACAGCCGTTGAAATAGTGCCAATGTAGCGAAAAAGTACCTTTCGGCGGTACTCGTGCAAAATCCTCAACGTAGCCGTTTTTTTAATACTGGACGTTTGGAGCAGTTCTAGTAAGCATTTGATAGAGCAAATCTTCTAGTTTATGATGGCGTATTTACTTTTCGGATTGGATGAGTTTGAACGGAGTTATGGCTTTAGGAAGTAAAAAAACTCGCACTCATCACAAATTTTCCTCGTTAATTTTGCAAAAATCCTCAACGTGGCCATTTTTGAATACTGGACGTATAAAGCTGCTTTAGCAACGTTTGGTAGAGAAAATCTTCTAGTTTTATGCATATAACTTTTCAGAATTTGACGAAAATGAAGCAAGTTATTGCTTCGGAAAGTGTAAAAACTCGTGCTCATCTCGAATTTTTCCTCGTTAATTGATCTAAATTTGTTATTTCTTATAACTTCCTGTAATTTCAGTACTGATTAGAAAAAGCTCTTCACAAAACTCCCAAATCTGCTTTCAGATTGAAAATTCGTCATATTTGAAGAAAGTTATAATCATTTGAATATTTGTTCAAATTTCAATAGTAAATAAGCTGCTCCACGGTCAACGCCAAAGTCCAGTCAACACACAGCTGGCGAAGGCTTTTACAAGGCTTCCTTTGAGCGAAAGGGGGACGTGTAAATTGAGAACCATAATCTGTGTAGTACTAGAATTTGGTAAGTCTTGTGGAGGAAATAAATAAAGGACAGATGTTGTCATAGTATGCCATTTTTAGTGGCTAGTTTGTCGTTTTTTGGTCTGTTTCTCGTTTGCTCGTTTGGTAGGACTCATCAATAGTGATCATTCTTTGACTTTTTCTTTTTTGTACTTCTTAAATTTTTTTTTGTGGACGGTGGGGTAGCGGCTTTTTTATGAGCAGTTTAGTTTTGGGGGAGAATTAAACAACCTTTTCATAGTTCGGCTTTTGAAGAGGGTTGTTTCATGGACTTTGACCTTCGGGGGAGGGGGGGGGTCGTATTTCCAAATTTTCCTCGACGCCTCGCTTGACCCTGGTCCTCGTTGGACTTTGTCCAACGGACGGTTGACCCTGCTTTGACGTGTAATACTATGTAGTTGCTGGGACTTCTTAGCACTTCATCGAAGATACGTGAGAAGTGGCACTGGAACTCAGACTACTACCCAACTATATATGTCGTTTACCGCTGAAATGAGGATGCAAAGAATTTCTGAAAGGGCCAGGATACGCCTTGCGCTTATCATTCGTTTGCAAACATGCAAATTTGGCTCCTGGCAGATGCGAGCAAACCTGAGAGAAAGCAGGAACGGAAAGTGATCTATCGTTGTCTCATTCTCGTAATGGACATCGCTTGTCTGACCTTCTACATTTTGGAGGATACTTTGCAGTCGAGTCAGTCCTGAATTAGCAGGGCGACTTGGTCTATGTCAAAAGTCAACTTCAGTCAATGATTGTTTTAGCAAGATTACTAATACCAGTCGTCAGTATGCTAGGTAAAAATTTATGACCTTTACCGCTAATGTATAAGATAAAACCTGAGCGCATTGTTCCGAACTTCTCGAGCTCGATAGACTCTTCGCGTTCCAGAAGACATCGGAAGGATCTTGTTGAGTCATTTTTACAGATGAGCACATACCCAATGAAGATATTGTACAAATCAGGTACAACGAAACTTTCGAATTTCCGCACACACGAGCTGCTTCTTGTGGTTAAGCTCCCTTTAAAGGACGAATTCACGATCAGAGGGAAAATCGAATTAGGAAGAATTCACCTGGTTGAGGGACCCGCGGAGCTCCTAAGTGTGCGAACTGAAGCACAATTTGCACAGGAGGAGTTGACCTCGTTGACCTATTAAGGTTTAATCCCGCCGCGGCTGGTCAGTGCACGCCCACCGATCATCTGATCACTCGCCGCAGGTCTATACGTGGTGAGTGATTAGATAGGTGAGAGAGCGTAGCGTTGAAGAGGGCACAGCGATGATAGTCGCATCAATGCTCAAATCAACGGGCAAGGAAGGGGTCCCATTTCTCGGGTTCTGGGCCGTTTCTCATGGTATTTCCTTCTTTGGTGTACCACTCACCATCGCTAAGGTAATTTGAAATGGGTTGCCTTTCCAGCGTGAATTCGTCTCCTTTAAGTTCTATTGAGTTTTCTGTATGGTTTGTGCTTATGTGTGCAGATTTCTTTTCTACCAAGAGTGGTCTTTCAGGACATGGAGCGCTTTTCCTTCCAAAATGCTTTCCTACATGTTGTAGGCCTCATAGAAGGAGACAGATTTTCATCATTCCCCCGCCGCCAACATTCAGAAAACGCATTTTGGAAAAGCGGCGCACGCAAGTCTTCCCTTGTAAGCAGTGTCGAACCATCTGTGAAGTTGGAGAAGTCGTTCTAGGGATATTGGGAGTAATTAGACCTACTTACATACACAATACAACGAGAGTTCCTAGGGAGACTTCGTTCATATATCCAAAGCGAGAGGCTCTTCAACTACATATGCTTATGCGCGTTCGGTATTTGTCTATTTAACTCATTGATTATTCTCTCGGTGTTTCGGAGCTTTACTATTTCATGATCTCAGTTGATCTTTGCGTTATTGGGACCATGTGGAGTGGTCGAAAGTGTGTAGAGGGTGTTTATATGTATGACATCTGGAGTGTACCAGTAAAATCACGACATCGCATTAGAGCGATACTTCGAGAATTATTTGAGTCTTAAGTTGTTTCACGATTAGTTTGTATCTACTCCTCCTCCCTACTCCTATGCTCTCCAGCTGTCACGACAAGACCACGTGGAATCAGGGTGAATATCGGTCGAGGAAATCCTCGACAGGGGGTCGTACTTGTCAGGCTGGGTCATGGGGGGTCGTACTCGTGGGGGTCAGTAACATCAGTGGCATCGTGGTGCAGATAGGAGTAAGAGGGTGTAGCGCAGCAAAACGAAGATATGTGAAAAACATGATATAAATATTCTTTGCAGGTTCAGTCGCTCCATTCCTCTACCTTCATGAGAAGGCGTATTTGAAAGCAGTACAAAGAATGAAAGTGCATCCCGCAAGGAAGGCCACATGTGCACACGCGCTGCAAAGGCACCTCCTCTATCTATCGCTCGCTCCTTCTCCCTTAATACCTCTGAGAATGACACTGTTGTTAGGGACGCTGTCGCAAAAACGACAACCGTGAAGAAAGCCCTGGGCAAATGAAGCTGTTCTTCAGGTTATAGGAGTTACGAAATGTGTTTACTACAATGCAGCTTCTGTCAACTGGTCATGATCATATAACACCTTTCAATCGATTCTGCAACTTCGAGTGAGGTCGGATGCATGGCCTATACCAGACAAAATCGGATGATGACGATTGCCCCTTTTCTTATTGCTTATGTTGGAAGAATGTATTCTAGACACATTTCGAGCGTTGCCAACGAATTACACTTGCAATGGTGAAGAAGGGAGCGGCTTTTTGAGCGGCCGAGAATCATCCTCGATAGATCCTCGACGCAAATATCTCCTCAACTAGAAATGTAGAAGGAAGCTAAACACTGTTAGAAAGCGCAAACCTTCCGCTTTCCAAAACTGTCTTCGTTTTCCCAAGATCTTGCGAAATTAGAGAGATATTGCCTTTTAAGTGGCAAAAACTCGCATGAAAATTTCAGCATCCTCGACGCTCCCTCGACGGATTTTGAGAGACTATATCTCTTCGAATGGAAGGCTTTCATAGCAATTCCAATACTGCCTGATAGTAGCAAATCTAGCTCTATCTAACCCTACCGCGTGCTGTTCAAAAGGTTGGGAAATGGAGGAATGGAACCTTTTCATCGAGGGTGTAGATTTCGACGGTTTTTTTCGGGATTTCAGCAAATCTGACCCAGGGACAAATCGCGCCGCAGCTGCCGTTGAATCGGCCGTTGATCGATACACTCGGCTGTTGTGATTTTGCGTATGCTCTGTTTTAGGGGGGTCGTGCCAAGACCTCGATTTCAGGGGGGGTCGTACTTCTGCGACCACGTCCTCGACACGATTTTCACCCTGTGTGGAACTGCCGAAGTGTGCTCGGTGGGTGTTTATATGGAAGTTGAGGGTTACTACTACAATGCCACCATGGACACGCTGCTAATCCCGAGTTCTGTTATATACAGGATCTTACCATAATTTTCCTAATCAACGCCGTGAATGTTGCGGACGGGCATCGCTGGACACCGGCAAACCGACGCCCAAAACTGTGGTTCACAAAAAGTTATATAGCAATGAAACAACATTAAACAAAGAGGAGATTCTTCACCAATGAATTGGCTTCATTTGGAAATTGAACGGTGTTGTTAGTAAGAAGAAGCGCTGCCAGAAAGATTTATCACTTCAGAGTATTTCTGTACATTATAAGAACATGATGTATTTGCAGAAATTTCATAAGATCCAATCCTGAGTTCTGTTTCCATATAAAGTGCCAATTATTATAGCTTTATCACAGAAAAGACGCTTCCATTCGCGCCATCCTGAAAAAAAAGTGCAGGTAAGGGGAAGTAAATGTCATCGTAGAGCTCTTTTTCGTGAAAGTTACGTTGGTATACAGTCATTGATAAGCTGAAAATTGGTTTTGCCATAATTACTGCTGATCACCTTTCCACCTTCTGGCTCTTCTTGAAGCGGAGTTAGTGATCTTGAGAATGGTGATGACCTGTTGCGTGAGGAAGGGCCTAGAATTTAATTTGTTTTGACTGAATAAATAAATGCCAAAATGATCGTACTATATATTTTGATAACTAAATTATAGCTCGAGGAATAGTTCTTATTCAAAACTTGTTTCCTTCTCTACATGAATCTCATTTGTTCATCGTGTAAGCTAATTAAGGAACTTCTGAAACTTCTTAAAGCAGATGGGAACGTATACTGCATGTTGCATGTTGGAAACGAAAGTAGGTGCGTTCAGTAGTGACAAGGTGAAAAAACCTCGGGAACAAGCCTAGAACCCGTGCACTGCGACATCCAGTCTGATCGCTTGCCGCTTAGAACGAGCCGGCGACCAACATGGAATTCAGTCGAGCGAATCCACCCCGACCGGAATTATATCGAAGAACATCATAATCGATTACGTATTACAGAGGCAAGTGAAAGCAGTTTGAATTGAATGTTCTTCCAAAATGAAAACTGTAGGATGACCATGACAGCATCAGGCAAGCATGCTTCTGTTAAAGGCACGAGTCGGGATTGAATTGATGCGTTATTTTGTTCAAACATTAGGCAAGGGGTGCAATGAGGAACATTAGTGAGGAGAAAAAGCAAAAAGCACCATAGAAAACACTAAATTTCCCTTAGGAGGCCGGCCGTAGTACGACGGAGAGACACAGCGCTGCGAGGAGAGGGAGAACGCGAGATAGTACGTCGTACGCGAGAGGACGCAGAGACCACGTATGCCGTGGTGGATTACGCTGGCAGCGCGGCAGCAGCAAGGCAAGGCCTTAGCGCCATTGCCGCGCACTTTTGGGTCGCGATAGTGTCGCGCCCTCAGTGCTTGGGGAGCCCACTATCGCACCCTGGGAAGAACTTCTGCTGGTTGCCTAATCCTGACTCGTGGCTTTAACCAACTGAAGCGGGTCTTTACAAAGGCGGTAGTTCCCACAAGTAATGCCCTGCTAAACCATACATTATACGAACCGGGTGCGCACTACGCCGCGGAAATGTTCACGGTACACCTCGTCTCCACCTCTCATTGGGAATCTGTCCTTTCTTCACAATTACAAATTTCTCCATATTTTATACTCAATTACCCTACTTGTAGCGTTCAATCTAATCAATTATTATAAAGTTTGGAACGCACCTCGGTGGAAGTCAGACGGTGTGACGTCGTCGGACTCATTAGTAAGATGTGGATCATCTTTCGGATTTGAGTCTACAGACACACAGACAGGCGAAACTCTGTGAGTTCTAAAAATATGAAATGTATGGTTGAGTATGTGTTTTTTGCAAACCCGTGATAGTGCATTGAAGTGCCGTTGATGCCCTGGCGACAACATCATCCAATGTTGGTGACACCCTGGTCATGTCTCCTTTGACATTACATTTTCAAAAATCTCATAGCAAGCTTCTCAATATCTAAGTTTACCATGGTGAACAAAAGTTTCCAATGAGAATTACCGAGCAAGACACGGCTTTTCATACATACGCATGAAAAACGGTGTCTTGCTCGGCAACATCGCCGTCGTGTGTGTCCATGACTAAGGTAGACTAGGTTATGACCAATATCTCTGCTTACTCTAGACATCAGTTTTAGGAGAAGAGTTCTAAAAAGCCAAAAAATATAGTTTACATTACCTTTCAGAAAATCTGCCCTTGAATTTCCCCTGATCCGTGATCTAGCTCTTTTCCTACGTTGGCTCGAGCCAGTATGTTCGTCATGTCACGTGATAGTGTGCTGCAGTGGGTCTCACTGGGGGAGGGGTCACGGAATCCTCCATGCCAGCCTTTCATTAAGGGCCTATGTGAAGACGTCGGCTTTCGTCTGACGTCCCGAAGGACCCCGTCAGTAGTCGCGACAGTCATCATAAAATGGAATGCAGCGTTCTGCCCACGTAATCTTCAATTCATTGTGAAGGAGCAATGTCCGCGATATTCGACTATTGACGGATTTCGAACTCAGAATACGCTTTCGCACTTACGATTTCTGGGTAATCTAAAGTTAACATTGGGCTCTTCACAGCGCGTTTGATGACGCTGACCAGATGCTCGCCCAATGTGCAGAGTCTAATTTTCACGGCGTACGTCAAGGCAAAGAAGGATTGCAGGATCGAAGAGTGAGCGTGGAGCCGGAAAACTCTGCTCTTCTGTGGTAAGAAGTTCGACGAGCCAATCATCAATCACAATCGAATCCTCCCAGAGGATAAGCGAAAATGGTGACGTGCTCTCAGTTGATGACTAACATAATGCTTCCCTTACTTGAAGTTGTGGCGCTCCCTTCTCGCATCGAAAATGAAATCTTACGCGAAAGAGATGATGCGTTGATTCATTGGAGAGCTTCGGAACAAATGCGATGCCAAACAAAACTACGGTCCATTTCATTGTGGGTCCATCCATCTAGTTGCTTCCGAGTCCAATGCTGACAAAGCGATTATGCGCGTATGTAAAGGTCAATTTTTCGACAATGTTACACTGACCAGGGAAGGCATTCAACTTCCCATGGAACTTTGAATTGAGATATATCGATAGAGCTTCAAACGCTGATTACAAATATGGAAACTAAAACTGCAAAATGAACCTGCCAAGGAAGTTGTGAGCAGTCAAAGTTGGCTAAGTAAAGCGTTACATATGAACCGTGCTAGACCCAGGCTTTCAGAGTCGCCGCGGAGTAGTGGTAGTGCCCTCGCTCTTCACCCGGAGGTCATAAGTTCTCTTCCCGTTGGAGTGCAAATTTTGAGAGCACTACCACTGCTCCACGGCGACTCTGAAAGCCCGGAGGCTAGCACGGTAATACGTATCATTCACTTGGAGTCACAACTTCCTTGGCAGGTTCATTTTGCAGTTTTAGTTTTCATATTTGTAATCAGCGTTTGAAGCTCTATCGATATATCTGGGTAATCAAAAAACTCAGTTCCATGGAAACTTGAATGCCTTTCCTCTGGTGAGGTGCGTTCGTGATATACAACTTTGCATTGTGCTAGAAATTCATATAAGTCACTGGTGACCTCTCCGACCTCTGAAAATGGGTCCAACGTAACCTCTGATTTCATAGCTAAAGTTTTGCTGATGGCATTTATCCATGCATGGCGAAGTAACAAGTTGAAAAGAGTCGAAAAGACAAAGTTCAATCTACAAACAAAACAACTAACCTTCCTATTTCCTGAAGATGTTGATTTTCGAGAAAGTCGGGCCGATGATCGCGCTGATGATATAAACTGAAATTATTTGTATGCATTGTATCTATGAGGGATTTAACTTTTGATGCTTACTGAAGTCTGTATGTATCCTCAATTTTATAATATCCTTTTATGAATTATAGCAGAAGGGAAGCCATTTGGAAAACGGAACTCCCTCGTGGGAGGCTTTGAACTGTATTGGGTATGCAGGGTGGCCACAAACTGCGGCAATATCGGCATGCCCTATAAATTCCTGAATTTCACCAATAAGGGTTCTGAATGCATATTTTGTGATTTGTTTCTACTGAATGGACGTTCGGTCCGCAATTTATGTAGATGTCTGATAGTTTTGGATCCGAGAATTTCCTCTTCACGACGCAAACACTTTTCTGCACCGCCAGTGTGTTCGATAGTGTTACATGCAATACGACTAGCAGCGTTAAAATGGAGTAATGCATTGATTCCGTGACAGTTGTTATTTCTCGTTTATTATTTTTTTATCGTTTTAGCAATCGAGTACCTTTCTGAGCAACACGAAAAGGGATACGTTGATAGAATGCAAACTTCAGTTTATCAGAAAGTATTGAATACCAATCAAGTGGAACACGTTATTTATAGGGTTGGTGGTACTGTCGCGACTTGAATGTGCGAAGATAAAGATTACACCATTTTTCTTTTAGAGATTTCTAGAAGTAGATGTAATAATGTAGTACTAGCTGCGTACTGGTGCGTTACTAGTGTGTATTTTTATT